GGTAGCCTCCGTCTTTCTCACGCGTAAACTCTATCCCCCTTTAACGTGGGATCGTGTGTTCATTATGACACAATCGCTACTACGAAATGTTCGTATAATTCCCACAGATGACGCCAAATTGCACGGTAGATTTTCTGTAATAGATTGAGATAACAATACTCACGATGATGAACCTAAAACAATTACAGAGTCAGAAAAGGGGTCGGGTAAACACCCGACTTATCCCCTCCGAAGCTTAAGTCAGTATAAGTTTGGATACTAGAGCACAATATTTTTCTCTCTCAGTTTAGTCTTGCGTACCTTTGCCCATTTCTCTGAGGAGTATTTATATCTGGATTAGTAACGAGTGCCAAGGCTTGAAGTCTCATCTCAACATTTAATGACTTGCACTCTTAACCATGAGTAATGAGTGTTCTCCACTTAGGTTTTCATGCCTAATTTACTCGGGCGATAGGGTGACTGCTCGGGACATAACAACTACATCCTTTCACGTGTCGATCTGGGGGCTGCTGAGTCGCCTAGGGTCTCGTCATTACTCATTAGTTAATTCAATCCATACCCATGTTTGTTTGATTACATAGATGAGTAATTGGGGGGTTTGAGATGTGATTTGGTAGATAGGATATTTTATTAGGCATAAAGGGTCATTTGACATACTTACCCTAGGTTAGGATATAAGAAATCCACTATTTTTAAGATTTGTCCAACCCATGTATGTGGGTTTAATACATTGGGCTACTTGGGCCAAAAACAATCCCAACATATAGCTTTCCTTGAGAGGACCCCTACTGTTATTTCCAGGGTGTTTGAGGCAAATCTTGTCTGTATTTGTTATGTTAGGGAGTCTTAAAGGTTCATTTGAACTTTCGTATGTACCAAACAAACAAAAAAAAGAGGGGGGGGGGGGGGGGGGGGAGTTGGTGGGATAATGAATAATTCTTATTTTTGATTTGATTTGATTTGATATAAAATTGCATATCTCATATTTGAAAAATTGTTTCTCAGCAAATATGAGATGGGATATAAAGTATGTGTACTATCTGTGATAAGGAGGATATGAAATCCCACCGGTAAGGATTGAAATGTGCAAACACATCCAATTTAATTCTAATTCATTCTACTATTCAATTACGCCTTAAGTCTCTCTAATGGATCCGACTCAATTTTATAACTACAAATAACCCTTAATAACTACCAATATTGATTATTGATTTTCACGTAACGGTGATAATGTGGCGTAACTATTACGATTGAATATTTACAAGCCCGATGCCAACCTTAGGCTTTGGCAAATAAATTAGCTAAATGTAAGTTGTTTTTATTCTAAGTGAAGCAGTGTGAATGTTTTGACCAAAAAAAAAAAAACAGTGTGAATATTATACTTTCTTGGACGAATAGGACAATACTTGTAAATACCAGGCCCACAGATGAATTAGGTGTGAACATAGAATCAAATCAATTTTAATGGCTGACGCATGAATTAATTATGATATTGAAAAAATATTTTTTTAAATTAATAAAAATATGACGTTTGTAAAATTCTCCTATTTTACTATTTCATATTTATTTATTTTCATGATTAATGACGATACACAAATTAGTTTGCACACCACCAGTCAAGTAAGCAGTATAAAATACAGTAAATAAGTAGAGGGAGAGAGAAGACAATGTTTATAGTGATTCAGTTAACGTGACTTACGTCTACTTTGAATGACAAGGGACGCCGGGTATTTTATTAACTCAAGTGTGGAGATAGAGGAGAGAATTACAAATTTAGAGTGAGAGATGAGAGATATGCTCGATTGAGTCTAATGTCCTCCAAGTGTTGCGGAGCTTACAATTTTTAGTCGCCTTATAACGGATTGAGGTGACTTAATAGTAGTTAAATAGTTAATTTAGCGGTCATAAGGGATTGAGGTGATTTAATAGTAATTAAATAGCTGATTCGGCGGAGGTGGCAATCTTTTCTCAACGGGCGAAACAATTACAATACTCTCCATAGGACTTGGTCAAAGGATGAGGTGGATGTTTGACTCTTTTCAAAGCGGCCAGGATGAGGTCCTTAGATGACCCTACTCTAAGATGCTTAAGAGGAGGCTCTTGGATGACCTTTACTTCGAGGTGGTTAGGAGGAGGCTCTTGGATTACCCTTGCATGCTCCCCTGCTGATGTAGCTCTTTGAACCTGATAAGTTTAACCAGGTGTAGACCACTTTGAGTGTTGAATCTCTAGAAGTTGGACTCTTAATTTAAACTTGGCTCGTAGCATGAGTTTGACCCGATCAGTCAATTAATAAATATAAATGAATTAACTCAAAAATGTGTGTGAACGTAAAATCATTTCCTTTTGACTCTGGTAGTGCTATTATGGACTAGACGTGGTGGTTGCTTGCAAGTCATCTATTTGAAGACCACATTATATGTGTTGGGCTCGTACCGGCACTGTTTGGACAAAGGAATATACCCAATGATGAATTATGTGTGAAATTAATGTTTAATTTATGAGTAATGGTAGTTGGAGTTAAAAATTAAACTTAATAATCTCAATCATTGAATAGATAGTGGATTCCAATAAATGTTAGGACCCACAGTAAAATCAATGATTATAATTATCAAGTATAATTTTTAAGTCTATTTTTTAATTTTTATTGAGTCGCAAAAAGTCGAGATCCCTAGTCAATTATTTTTCTAATAATATAAATTCAGTTAGATTAACTTGATACAATCAACAGGTCTATATATCACTAAGGATCAAAATTTCGTTTCGGTGTATTATTTCAATCACTCAGAAAGCAAAATTTTTTTGATGTGTTTCGCAAACATTTCGACCCGTTTCGAAAATAGAATGAAAAAAAATTAAAAAAATTAAAAATTATTTTTTCAAAATATTGTTCGAAATATACTAAAATATCTTAAACATTCCGAAATAATTGTGTAAATACAGTAAAATATAATAAAACATTTCAAAATATTATGAAACACTTTAAAATATCATAATTTCGATTCTATCACTGTTTCGTTTCGATTTCATTGAAAACGGAATTCGAATGTTTCGACTGTTTCGAAACGATATTTTATTCTTTTTATATAACTAATGCTATATAGATTTAATTTGCTGACTTAATCATTTGCTATCATTGATTGACAGCTATGGACCTTGGCTCAGCATCTCACATTTCTTTGTCAGTAAGGCCCGATTTCAACCTTATGCATTGGCCTTATCCGAATCAATTTTAACACGATGCCTCCGGATACCTTAGCCTTATCCTTCATTCTAAGCGAAGCAGTGTGAATGTAATACTTTTGTGTAGGAACAGGTCGAGACTTTTAAACGGCTAACCCACGGATGACCAAGTGTGAACATAGAATAAAACAACATCATCTCTTTGGACACATGATGGTACTGCTACTGTGGAGTTGCTTGCCAGTTATCAAATAATTGTCAAGGTTGGACAAAGGAGGAAATTAGGGTTCAAATTAGGGTTTAGTTTAGATCGAGTCCCGACACTTGAAATACCTAATCGATTATTTTTTAAATACAAAATCGTATTAGGTTTTTTTTTTTTTCTCTCCAAAAACTTTATTCAACTACTAAATAAAATGAATTGGGTTCAAGTTTCAGGGACCAAAATTGTACCACTAATTTTTTTTTTCTGTTACAAGGTGTTCAATTTTGTGCCGACTTCTCTCTTGAATTTTGAGACTGACAACCGTAGCTCGAATTAGTTTAAAAATATGTTCATTGAGAAATAAGAGTGATTGGACCTTAGAAGGCGTGGGAAGTATCAAATATGACATACAAATGTTATACATTAACGATTTTATTTTATTTATTTGTTATTCAGTATCTTCAAACACGAGCATTGACTAGATATCAAACTAAAATTATACCACTATTTAACCCTAACATCCAATTCGGAATTGTCATTAGATTCCGAAAATGGAAAGAAGCATTTGTAAGGGCTACATTGTGAAACCGTAGTGGCAATGGCACAACATAAAAACATAGAGCCGTCACGAAAGCTTGCAGAAAAAGACCTGCAGTTTTGTTTGGATTTGGATGTCGGTTTCAGCAATGCTATTTGTAACAAAAATGTCGGCATGATTTATTGGTTTAATCAATCACTATCGTTGAATTGATTATAAATCTCAGTACTTATTGTGATCGATTACTAATTCAATGACCATAATTGATTAAGTCAACAAATCAGAATAACATTTTTAAGTCTAAATAACATTCTTGTTTCAGTTTATGTGGACGTCCAACAAAGATGAATTGAATTCAATTAAAATTGACAAAATCCTAAATAATACTCTGGATTGATCTATCATTGGAATACGCTTTAACTCTCAATATTTTTTAGCAATAATTTAATCTCCAATTTTAATTGTAAATAAAGATTTAGATTCTCTTGCGTACTTTTATTTTCAATTCTATTTTTGGCATATCATTTATCATTAATGAATGAAAGACTCACTTGTGTATAATCGGTCTCAGTTGAATCCATAGCGTGTAAAGAAGATAATTAAACAAAAAGAAAGTTTAGCGGGAATAATCTCACTCCCAAAAATAGTATGTCTTCCCCTCTCTCAAATGAAGATTTGACCATTGTACCGACAAAAAAAAAATCGATACCGCACCTCCAAAATTTATTACGTGTTTTTATAATTTTTATAAGTCATTTTAAAATTTAAAATTTATCATTTTTGTTGGTGATTTAACACTTTTGTGAATATGTTTATTACTATTCTGATAATTATTTTTATAATTTTTATTCGGTAAAGAAACAATTATTATTTTTGTGGATGTTTTTATCACTGTTATGATAATTATTTTTGTTATTTTTTTAAGTATCACAATAATAATAAAAACAATCACAACAATAATAAAAATACTTATAAATACAATAAATTTTGGTATGATACCGAAATTCTATTTTTGGATACCATATAACTGTCCTATAAATGAACTCCAACATCATTTACAAACCTCTGTCCCTCGTCTCTCTCTCTTTCTGTTGCCATGGCTGTTCGAGGGCTGCTTCTCGCATTCACATCTGCCTTGGCTTTCGCCGGAGCTTTTGATTTTGTACTTTCCTACGATCGCCCACCGGCGAGGAAGTCCCTCTTTGTGCGACTTTCGGAAGATGTTGATTCTACTTCACCACAGCAGGTACGTTATAATACTCTCATATTATTCATGCGAATCACCTTAAATAGGGATATTCTTGAGACTAAAAGTAAGGGAACAATTCCGGCCGGCAAGCAGATGGTATGAGTTATGCTATAGGGACAACTCTGGGGGCATGTTTGGATGCTTTTTGAATGAGGGGTTGAATTGCTTTTTTAGCAAATTCATTTAAACTCAAACTCTTTCTTTTGTACTTGGGATTCATTCATAAACTCTATCAAATCTTTTATTAAGTAAGTAATATAAATATAAGTATGATCCACGAATTAATCATTATATCTTGGGTTAACTAATTTCAAACCCACCCCTTATGGGTTTAACTTTTTGGGCTGGTGACGGGCTAGAATCGTAATCCCGAGCATAAAAGTCTTAACCATGGTCCTTTAAATTATTTTACTTAAACACACACTTACATGCCCTTCCAAACCTATCTATCTAACAAACAGCCCCGATAGTTTATGAGTATGTGGTAGGAGTCACTCCTAAGATTCAAATTTTGCTCCAATACATTTTATTTTTTAATTTCACTAAAATTGCCCACTCTATTATATATAAACGAGTCTCCAACCATAGATGGCGAGTAGTTTACGCTTGAATGGAATTAAAAATATATACAATTATATATTAGAGAGAATCTCACGTTATGTCATACGACCTAGTTCAAACGAATTTAATGTTGGGTCTTTGTGGAGTTTAATTTGTATGTTGATTTGGATGATGATCTGACCCAAAGTAATATTGTGCGATTTTTTTATGAGAAATTTTCTGAGACTTGGTCTATGGAGCGAAGACTTGGGCCGATAGACCCAAGCCGTAGCGCTCATGTTGCTCTTGAGAATTTTTTTTTGACCTGTTTTGTAGCCCAGTGCGTAAGACATATAAAAAATTGCTACTTTAGTGATTAAAGTTTGATCGAAGTGTATAGCTGCTCTCTGTAATCCTCTCTCTCAATAGTAAAATTCCTGAAGTTTCATGGACGTAGGCAAATTACCGAATCATGTAAAATTTGTGTGTCTTGTTCTTTCTTATTTCTTGTTGTTTTATGTTTTTGATTTGTTCTTCGATTGTGTGTGTTTGTCTGTGGATTTAAGGCGTGTTAAATCCCAACATTGAATCCTTCGTTAACTTACCCCAAAAAAAAATCCCTTCTTAAAAAAAAAAAAGGGAAAATCATATAAAATGACCACAGAAATAAATGAATTGAGACCGTGGTGCTATTGACTTTTAAGTTGTAGTATTCTTGTTCACATGATACCCCCACACTTTTATTTTTGTGTGACAGGACATGAAACCCACACCTTTAAGTTGTTGAAATTCAGTTTCGTGTATGTTGGGCCCCAACTGTCGCAGATATGTACAAGACTGAGGTCCAACGATGAATCCTGTTTTTGATAAGGGTAAAACTTTAGTATAAAGTTTTTACCGGTCCAAGTTTTGAATAATTTTTTTTTTAATATTGTATCTCTTATTTCTCACCAATTACAATTATATATGTATAAAATTTAATGATTTTTTTATATAACTATTAAAATAATACAAATCCAATATTTTAGTAATTAAATTGACAAAAAATATATATTTTAGAGGATAAAAATACTATTAATCACTTTCTTATTATAACAATGACACCATTAAAGATATGGATGAGAAATGATCGAATTGAGCTGTGCTGTAGGTGCATATATCTCTGGTCGGAGAAGACAAGATGAGGATTTCGTGGATTACAGAAGACCCAACTCCGGCGACTGTAAACTACGGCACATCGCCGGGAAAATATGGGTTTTCCGCAAGTGGGAGTACGTCTTCATACCAGTATGTAATGTACCAGTCCGGTGAAATTCATGATGTAGTCATCGGTCCATTGAAGCCACAGACAATATATTACTATCGTTGTGGCTCCGATTCAGCCCCCGAGTTCAGTTTCAAAACTCCACCACCTCAATTGCCTATCAGATTCGCCATTGCAGGTACGTAGTCAATTCTAACTCGAATCGTTTATTTAAACGTACATGGTAGGTGTACTAATATCAGTTCATCTTATTTATTAATTATATATATTGGTGTGTGAAATTGAGCAGTGTGAGCTTTGTGTGTTTATACACTAGGATAGTACCGTCTTCAAATAATAATGAGTTGGTCTCCTAATTTGTTAAAATTTGGAAGGGAACATTTGACTGTTAGAAGATACATTCTCTAGATGTGACGTGACATTTTAAAAATTGATTGTGTGACATTAAAAATAAATTCTTCATCCCATAGATAAGATCTCGTGGTGCACTTTATATTCTGTCCTTTACTCCATAGTGAGATGAGTTGTTTTAGGTAAACCGAGCTTGTTTGATAATGGCTAAGCTGGCTCATGTCTTGATTAATTTGACTCCTTGTGTGTCAGGTCAATCAATCTGATCTTTAGGTTAGTTGATCCCTTTATAGTGCGATAAAATTATTTTCAATATGGATTTGATCTTAGAATTATCAATATCGTATTCAATCGAAACAAATTTCAACTTAAAATCCAACATTCGGACCACTTTTTTTCTCATAACCAAACCCATCCCCGATCACCACACAGAAAAATCTAGTAAATCCACGAAAAAAAATACTACAATTATTGATAATTAAAGAAATTGGAAAACTGTTGTAACATATACTTTGTTCTCATGCATCGAAATCAAATAATTCAAATTTGCCACTATCTCGACCAGAGTATTAGTAGTGTAAAAGTTTTTTTTTTTTTTGTTGTTGTTTTGTTTGAGAACTACTAAACCCTAACCCGATACTTTCATATTGACTTTGTATCTGTGTTACTATGTTGTATAAAAAATTAAACCCCTAATCCCTAATCAGCCACTTTTGTAAGTAATGCTAGTTGTGTAATGCAGGTGATCTTGGACAGACAGAGTGGACTAGCTCCACCCTTGAGCACATTTCACAATCAAACTACGATGTGTTGTTGCTACCAGGGGACTTGTCCTATGCCGATACAAACCAGCCAGTATGGGACTCATTCGGCCGACTGGTTCAGCCCCTAGCAAGCCAGCGGCCATGGATGGTGACTCAAGGTAACCACGAAATCGAAAAAATACCCATAATACACTCCGATACCTTCACATCCTACAATGGAAGATGGCACATGCCATTTGAAGACAGTGGTTCCGACTCGAATTTATACTATTCCTTTGATGTTGCTGGTGTTCATGTGATCATGTTGGGTTCGTACACTGATTTTGGTTCAAGCTCGGCTCAGTATGGATGGCTTAAGGCAGACTTGAAGAAGGTTGATAGGAAGAAAACACCATGGGTGGTGGTGCTCATCCATGCGCCTTGGTACAATTCTAATACCGCTCATCAAGGGGAGCGCGAATCAATTGACATGAAGGCGTCCATGGAAGATTTGCTCTATGGAGCTCGTGTTGATGTCATTTTTGCAGGGCATGTTCATGCCTATGAGCGCTTTGTAAGCTTTCTTTTTTCTCCCTTTTTTAGCCTTTAAAATATATAAGTTTTCGAGACTTATACCTTAACCAATACCATGATTAGATGTTCATTTTCTTGGTATGTCTCTCCACCAAAAGTTTCTAAACACCAATCCATATCATAGATTTGGTAAGAGTTGGTCGTGCCAAATGCCTAACGGGTGTAAATTTTGATCCATCAACACGAATTTGATACGACACGATTCTAAAATGCATATGTCACGTTTAATTCCACCCTTCAATTCCTCTTTCTCTCTCACACATATATATACATTGTCAGACTCGGGTTTACAAGGGACAAGCTAACAATTGTGGTCCAGTGCATATCACCATAGGAGATGGTGGCAACCATGAAGGCCTCGCCACCAAGTAAGTTGGTTTTCCATAATCCGTAACTCCTGTCTTTTAAGGTTTGTTCTGTAAAATGGTTTGCAAATAGATCTCAAAATTCGTTTGTTAACAGGTTCTTAGACCCACAACCAAACATTTCGGTTTTCAGGGAGGCCAGTTTTGGGCACGGGGAACTTGAGGTTGTGAATGCAACCCATGCTCAGTGGACGTGGCATAGGAACGACGACGATGAACTAGTTGCATCTGATACAGTCTGGTTAAGAAACCTTACATCTGACCCAGCTTGTGAAGTGTAAAATTTAATTTAAAGAACTATCTCCAGAAAGAGTTATATTTTATGTATACCGTTAGTTGTGAGCTATCTTGTATTCAGTTTATGGCTTTAATTTTGCTTACTTTTTGTATTTGTTTTTAAAATATTGATGATTAGAGGTAATATGAGAGTCAACGGTTTTTAGTCATAAAAAATAATCTCTCCACAAACAGAATACTCCGATCGTGCAGTGGTGAGACTTTCGACGATTGTGTCACTTGTTTTGTATAGTAAACGGTGCAAACTCTAAAATAAAATGGAGAAGAGAACCACTATACTACTTGTGACAATCACTAGATTGTACATGATAAGTAGCTTCTTAATCACTTAGACAAACCCACTTTACTTGTGTTTTTGAAGTCAATGAATTTGTTATGCCAATAATTAGGAGGATAATGAAATGGAATGAAGATTTCCAATATTAGATACTTTCAATGAGGATCATCTCTTGTTAGATTCTTTCAGACAGAATTTTTTCATTTTATGGGCCCATTGGGCTAGCCCGTCATTGGCCAGACTTCTCCGGAGAGCTGGCCCGAGACCAGCCTGTTGACAGGTCAATGCTCGATTGGACAGCCCTGGGCAAGCCTGGGTCCAGATATCTGTTTAGGCCTGGCCCGCCCTGATCCTTACATGCACAGGTATATATAGAAGAGAAGACTACTATATCAAAAATAAAATTTTGGTACCGTACCGCCAAAGTTTACAAATTTTTAGTTTTGTTTATAACAAAAAAAATTATAATTTTTGGTGTCATTTTACATCTGGTTCAAATTATTATATTTATAAGATCTGTAAATGACCCCTAAAATTTATAAATTATACCCAACAGTTGTAAATGACTCCTAAAAATTATAAATGATTTCTAAAATTTGTATTAAAAAAAACCCACATTTTTGTTGTTTTTTTTTTGGCTATAGGGTATCCAGGCTTGTATTTACTATTCTCTCGAGTTCAGTGATTGACCACCGTGACTTGAGATGGGTTAGAGCATGTCCCTAAGCGCATGTTTGATATATATTTTGGGAGGGGTTTGGATTGGTTTGTCCAAATCCGAGTTTGACCAAAGATGGAATTCAAAGAAGGGATCAATATTCAATGTTGTCCGTACTCATATTTGGTATGCGCAGGAATATATGACTATTATGATAATATATTTGTATTTAAATAACTATTGTGCCCCTTAATTAATTTTATCCAAACATAGGTATGGATATATAGGGGGTATAAATGTCATTTGAATGTGAAACCCCCAAATCCACATATGAACCCCCCCATGGGTTTCATGAAACCCATGAACAAGGGTTTCATGACTGGGCCATGACCGGACCGAATTTCAAACCCTAAGCTAAATCCAGAGTTGCCAAACATGGGTTTAATAGGGTTTAATCCCTAACCCATGTTCCAAAATCCTCCTAAACTCACGTACCAAACAACCCCTAAAGGGATAAGGATAAGTAGTTTTTAGAGAGTGAAGGAAAAGATTGAACCTTATACCAAAAGTCAAGTTCAACTGATGAACCACTCTAAGAGATTGTTTGCTATGTGGGTTAAGGGGGGGGGGGGGGGGGGGGTTGGGAGTAAACCTCCTTAAACCCATGTTTGACAACCATGGAGTATGGATAGGATTTCAAACTCGGTCCGTTCATGAAATCCACATACTTGGGTTTCATGAAACCCAAGGGAGGTGGGTGAGTTTCATTTGTGGGTTTGAGGGTTTAACATACAAATGACATTTATACCCCTATATATCCTATATACCTCATATATACAAATTGGTTAAGAGGCAAAAAAGTCAAATATATACAAATATATTATTATAATAGTAATATACCCTGCGTATACCAAACCTGGACATGGATAGCATTAACCTCTTCAAACCCATCTTTGAATCCCATCTTTGGTCAAACCCGGGTTTGGACAATCCAATCCAAATCCATCCAAAAAACATACCAAACAGGCTCTAAATGTTTTGTCTTCGTTGTTGTTAGTGGCATATAACGTTAGAAATTAGAAGTCCTAAAAGTAAGCAAATAATTAATAACATCCCACGACTAAGGTTGGTGGAAGGGGTCTTTGTACATGTTCTGCAATGTTTCCACAATGCTTAACTTATGTTAGTGTGAAAATGCTTTGTGTAATGAAGATGTTTGAGAAAAGGTAGACATATGACATACAAAAAGTTTATCATGTTTAAACTAATTGATATTTACAACTAAAAATAACTTTTATGTTTAACTTCCCATTAAATAAAGCACTCCCAAATCCATTAATATGCAATAGATTTAAAATCGGAGTAACTCCGACAAGTATTTAAATATCTGTTGATTACATGTCAAATTAAATTGTGACTTTAGCATATATGGTGAAAATTTAAGAAACTGAGGATTGAAAATGTTAGAGCTTATGTCATATCGACAAATAAAAAACTTTCAAATTAGTATATATATGCCTTTTTTTCTCACTTATCAATTGATGTTGAGGTAAAAGTCTTTAATATAATATTATAAGAATATTGTACACGGCTTTTTGGGAAGGATATTATATGAATCTCATGTCTATCTCTCCACATATGTGCGAAACTTGATTCGAATATGTGGATCACAAACTCGATTTGAATCTGATGTCTTTGATAAAAAAATCACCTTAATAACTCTGTAGGAAAAGTAATAATATAGTTCTCTGTCCATATTGCATATAATTTTGTTATTAAGAAGGTCTTTTTTTTGGAACATGATTATTAAGAAGGTTGAGATAATAAAAATCATGGATTGGTTTTGTAAACTTTTTCCTTTTGTAAAAGTATAACAACTTGAGCAAGGCATGTGTAAATGAGTGAAAAACCTTTTGATATATATATCCATATGTAAAGTAGTTGTTTACATGCTATCATTATATTTGCCATTATATAAAAAGCCAAACCCAAGCATGAAGCAACTCTACCACCTTTATAGATGTGGCTAGTTTAATCATACCCTCTTTTCTTATAGGTAAGAATTTTGGGAAAAAGGAAAAAAAAGGGTTAATAACTATGTTTTTTCTTCCCAAAAAGTATGTCTAATTAGTATGCATTGTAGTCTCTATCATCTATTCAAAAGTATTGCACAGCCTTTGAGAGACCCTGTTCTTTCACACCCTTAATATCTGTAACTATGTCCTGGGAAATTAAAAAAGAAAAAAAAAAATAACTCTCACTAACTCTTGGTATCAAGTTCAAATCAAATTCCAATTCATCAAAACCTGAATTCGATTTAAAACTGGTTTGCATTTTTACAAATGTAGTTGAACTCACTATAATCAAAATATTATTTGAAAAACTTAATTTAATGTAAATATCAACTATAAATACTAAACGTTCTATGAGATTTGACTCTTTAAGATTTTTTTTTTTTATAAATTTTAAAAAATCATTTTACTATCTACTCTTGTTTTTTCTTAAAGTTAAAATTTTGGATCTGTTTCTGTTTCTTATTTTGCTCTCCAAACCATCTGATTAGGAGTTTAGTTCCAATCGGACGATAAATAAAGATTATACGATAGATTCCACGTGAATTTTATGCTTCCATTCTTATATAATCACCCTCACTAAATTTAAACCCTCAACCTCACGTGTAGGGTTCAATGCACTTAACAACAATAATGTAATTGCATCATAAGGCTTGCAGGGATTGGTATTATGTGAAATGATTAAAATTACCTTAGAAAGTAGAGGCTCGAAGAGGGTTGTGATGGTGATGAGGTAATGTATGGGCTGGTTAAAAGGAAAAGTAAACTGACAATCGAGTGTTCACATGTACATGTGCCCCCCTCTAGAATTATAAGTGTTCACATGTATCCATAATGCGCAATAAGAGTGAAATACTTGATCACATGTTGGGTTTATTAACGGATCAGATTTAAATTGAATTTGATTTATCTGAATATAAATTTAAATTCGATTTACTAAACAGTCGGTGAATTTTGTTGTCATAGTCATGTTCAAAGATAAAAAATCAAAAATTTGGATTAAACTCTAATTCAATTTCATCAAATAATTATTGATCTTATATAATATAGCAATGTAGTTTAATTTTAATTTTTTTTGGTTCAACGATCAGGGGCGTTTGTATCAACTTACGTGCACCTCGACTAATCTCTTTTTCTGTTTGATTAAAGGCAAGTCATTTATGCCAAGACTAGTGTTTGTTTGGTATGATGAAAAAATGAAAGGATCAAAAGTTAGAAAGATAAAAATTTGGAGGGATGTATAAAATATCATGTTTATTAAGGAAGAAAAATAAAAAAGATATAAAAATGGATGAATCAATTTTCTATCTAACTCACAAAAATTAATTCTTTTAAAATTGGGAGGAAAAGTAGATGGAAAGTTAATTATGTGTGTTAAAAGGTATGTTATTTGTCTATATATCATTTAATATATACATATATCATATTTATTAATTAAATATTATGTATACATTAATATATATATATATATAATGGTAAAATATATTTTTATATTTTTTAATAAAAATAAAAAATTTAAAAATAAATAAAATAAAAATTAAATACTTTTTTCATCTTATTAAACGAAAAAAAAAATCAATTAATACTACTTTCTATCCCTCTTATCAAACACAAACGAGTGAAGGAAGAATTTTTGATTTTGATTAAAAATCTTTAACTTTCCTACCTTCCTACCCATGGGCAACAAGGGTAATGCAATCCTCTCTCTCTCTCTCTCTCTCTCTCTCTCTCTCTCTCTCTCTCCTGCTTAGAGGTAAATGAGGAGCCATTACCCCCTGTTGGGTGAGTGAATAATTGTATTCATGGGGCAATGCAGATGATGATGATGGGTACTCAATTGAGTTTAATGAATGCATTGGTATCTATGGCCATACATATCTTTTGACTCACTGGCATATGTACAGTTATGATAAGAATCCTAACCCCTAGAATTATGAAAGAAACTTCCTTTTGATTAAGGGGGGGAACTTAAAATGGCTGCAAAAAGCATAAATTTTCTTTAAGAGAGTTGAAAACGACCATTATTATTATTGTGAGGCTTTTGCCATCATTGGTAGTTTCAGGCCAACTTTATACCGCACTCTCACCAATTACTCTTAGTTGTAGTACTCTTTCTTGCACGTAAGGGAAGGTCCCTCTTTGCCCCATCTTTGATTGAGTG